TTTTGGCCAACACCTGAAACAGCCAGTGTGTTTTGGATTTCACTTCTGCTGAATCATAACACACCTGGCACCGTTTCCTGTAACACAATATAGGTAGTCCTCACTGAACAACCACAATTGAGACCTGTAATTCCACCACTAAGCAAAACATGACTTGATCGCAGCAGGCTTATAACTTCATTTCCGTCATTAAGTGAATCACAGCTAGTCATAAGCAAGATGTCACATGACCATAACGTGTAATTGTACTGCTGGCTCCTCCATTGATTTTGCTTGCTTGAAGCCAGCTTGAAGTGTGCAAATTGCAATCCTATGATTTGACAATACTCTACTGGTCATAAATTCCTACCAGTTATGAAGCACCCTGTTTCAACCTTATAACCGCAGGTATGCTATGATGATCACAAGTGCAAAGTCCGATTGTAAAGTTACTTTTCAGCACCATTGTAACTTGAACAGTCATTAAACAGGGTGGTTACAAAGCAAAAGACCATCTGTACATTTTGGAATTCAAATCACAATTTTTATTTTTTAAAACCTTAGGATATATTTATGCATACATCAATTACAAATCCATGTGTACTTATACTAGGCACATTTTGATCTTTTAAAGGGCAACAGATGTCTCTCTTTCACCAGGCTTCTATTTGTTAGTTAGTATAGGTATTTAATTAGAAACTGCATTCAAAGCATCACAAATTATTTCTGCTGTAGAAGATACATTTTGAGAAATGGACAAACACCCCTGGAATGGACCACCTTGTATTTTATCCAACTAGCTTTAATTTATGTCAGGAATTTTTGTGTTTTGACATTTGCATCTCTCAATTTCCTAGCTTTGCCTTGCTTCCTCAAGCTAAGCAGAAACATGGTATAATGATGAGTTATCTCAAAGCGAGATAAGCAGTAAACAAATCAAATTAATAAAATCATTGCCCTCGTTATCACCATATTCATCCAGAGTAAATTAAGTTCTGAATTTAAATACAAAGATTTATGTAATGGAGTACATTGCTGATAGAAAAGCATGTTGATTGTATCCTTGGTCAGATTTAGATTCAAATAATAAACTAAAAAACTAAAATAAATTTTGTGAATTCAGTGGAACTTTTCAAGATCGTACTGTAAGTTAGGTTTTTTTTCATTAAAATTAATAAAATTAGTCTTTACTAATGTGCTGCTGATGTCCATGACCCAAAAACATTTTTTTATGTTTAATAAAAAATATTATGCATTATGTTATCAAAACTGACTGCTGGGGTAGGAAGGGCAGTTGCCTTAAAAATAAATGGTTCGGTTAATTTTTTTTCTCTTTCTTTATATTTCAGATATCTTCAACCACCAGCAGCTTGGCTACAGTGTGCTTTGGAATCAAGAGAACTTCTTTCATTATGCCTTAAAAAAATTAAGGCTTCTCTTAGTAAGGTTAGTCATACATATGTTTATTTTTGTATGAATTTTACTTAGGCTGGATACTGCTATCATTCTTGAACTAAAAATTCAAGTGTCAGTATCCAGAAATGTCTCTCAGTCTTTTTTCAACTTTTCACTATTTCCAAAATCCAGAATTCCTAGTTGCTGTGTGCCAACACACTTGAAACAAATGATTTAAGTAAAGTTAATATAACATACACTGAGTTTATTTTTAAATGTACAGAAACCACATATACTTTGACACATGGTAACATTAGTTAAAAGCTGAAACTGTTGAGTAAATATTTTTCCGTCTCTGTTATGTTTTGCCTTTTTTGAGTATTCATAGATAATCATGCTGTTTCCTCCTATCAGGTTCGGTTGATTGATGCAGGATTTGTATGGACTGAACCACACTCTAAAAGACTTAAAGTAAAGCTAACTATACAAAAAGAGGTAAGTAAACTTTTTTTCATTGCAAAATGACAGAATTAATATTCAGAATATTAATATTAATATTCTGTCAGAAACCCAAGTTATGCTAGCTAGGGAAATTTGAGGGTGTTCTTGTTCCTGACTTGTTACATTTCTAATAGCAATTTACTGTACATGTACTAAATGCATTGTCTTGGAGTGTACAGTATATTCCATAACCTTTGTGGTTGGACTGTTATAAAGCTGCCTCCAAGGGTCTGGCTTTAAAACATAACTCAGAAGTACCGTTGGGTCTGGATGCAGCACCTTGGCTGCAGCTTGGGGGAGTAAGTTTAATTGTGTGATGTGTATGTTGAAATTGCTGCAGTGAATTCTGATAACTTCCAAGATATATTTTTAATGTTTAAAGTCATACGTGGCTTGGTGTGCGTATGCAGGATTGTCTCTCCTAAGCAGAACTCTGTGCATTGATTCTCAGGAGGCTTGTCAGGATACCCATTTTGTATCAGTTTAAAGTAACTGGGTCATTTTTAGTAGAAAAAATATTTTGTACTGGGAGGTAGAATGAATGTCCATCTTGTCTGTGTTTTTTTTTCCTGAAAGCCAGATTGTTCCAATGAGTTTTTTATGTAGATGGTGGATTTAGGTTGCAGTTAGTTTTGCAATTGGGCAGTATACAAACATTATTCTAAACAAATAAATTACCAAACTGCTCATTTCCCAAGAAGCATGAATAGATTTGGAGTATATGCAGATCAATAAAACATTAAGGAATGCTTTCTTTCTTTTTTAAAAATTTTTATTGGTTTTTAAAAACAAACATAAACAAAACATAAAAACATCAAACCATCTTCCATATATGTACATACAGTGTGCCAGTTGGTTTACAAATTGTTTTGTGCTTCCATTTCGTAGTCTTCAATTATAATTACATTGCATATAATCTCGTATTTTCAATCAAAAATTAAATACCTTGGTATCATTATGAATCAATCATTTGACTATACTTTTATTCATTCATGTTTTACAAGATAATCATAATTTACTTAGTTTGTTTTATAACAGTTCATATTATCATCCCAAATCTATCCTAAAATCATTTTGTAGATATAATAAGAAAGAAGTACATCTTTATATATTTATTATTTTCTAAAAGTCTACATATTTCATTACTGTATTTTATTGTCTAAGTTTGTAAAATCACCTAATTGCCAGTTGACTCAAGGTGGCAAATCTTATTTGTTCTCACCTAGGTAATGAATGGTGCAATTCTTCAGCAAGTCTTTGTAGTAGAGTATATTGTTCAGTCACAAATGTGTGAAGACTGCCATCGTGTTGAAGCTAAGGATTTCTGGAAAGCAGTGGTTCAAGTTAGGCAAAAGGTATGTATATGTGCATATGTATCATTAATAGTGAATTCTGAAGGCATAGTTCATCTGCTAGGATTTCATCTGATGTGTAGAAATGTGATTGCTCTTTCTTACTTATATACACTCAAACACAAATATTCTTGCTTGGTTGTTGTTTTTTACCCTTTAAACGACTCTGGGAATCTTTCAAACCAAATAGTGGAATATGAGTGCTATAAATAAATAAATTGATTCCAGGTTTCTATAGAAAACTGGGCTATATATTTATTCCTGCCAATGTAATTTGTATGGGCTACCGAGTTTTGGGTTTCAAGTGAAATGATAGCTCTCATAGTCTTTTTTAAATACCCTTAATCACTTTACAGGAATATAAACACTATCCAATTTTATTTTGTTCATAGACACCACATAAAAAGACGTTTTATTATTTGGAGCAATTAATTTTAAAGCACAGGCTTCACCAGAACACTCTTCGGATCAAAGAGATTCATGGTAAGTAATATGCTTTTACATTTTTATGTAAAACTCTTCGGGCCTTTGAGTGATTGGATTCTCAATCCATAAGTTACTAGCCGTCAAGAATAAGAGGCTTGCTTTTTAAAGAAACTGGGTCACACAGGAAAGTCAGTTGATTATTATTTGTTCAGTAAATAAATTTATATTGCTGCCCAAAAAATTTTAGGGTCAAACTGAAATTTTCTTAACATGCTTATATAAAGAAGTCAACTTATGTTAGTCTATGAAAATATCAAAACAGCTTTTAAGCTTTCACAAAAAATCCAGAAAGATAATATTCCTTATAAATAAATCTTCATTTCAGTTTCATTTATGTACCTACAGATGGTCTGGATTTCTATTTTGCTTCCAAACAGCATGCTCAGAAAATGGTGGACTTCCTTCAGTGTACTGTACCTTGTAGGTAAGTCTTTGTTCTTTAAATTGTCTGCTGCACATAACTGTTGAAGGCATTGTAATCCCATTGAATTTTTTTTTCACTTTTACAAACTAGAAGTGATTCAAGCCAAGATTTAGACTTGTAATTGTAAATGGACCTTCTTTGCTATCTTATTTTACAGGGTGGAGAAGGGGGGATTTTTTAATGTGAAATCTAATTTATCTATCATCCAAAATACGATTTTTTGCTGTATGCTTATGAGAATCATTATGCCTAGGCTTTGTCCATAAGCCAGGCCACCATGACTTGTTTAGCAAACTGATGATTTTTTTAAAAAGACTTTCTATGCTCTGATTTGAGTTTGTCATTTTTTTAATTTCAGAATTAAATCATCACAGCGTTTGATTTCTCATGACATTCACAGCAATACATATAATTACAAAAGCACTTTCTCTGTTGAGATTGTTCCAGTATGCAAGGTATTTTCTGTCTTTGTGGATTAGGCACTGAGAAGCTCGTGCCCTTTTTGCTTAGAGTGGAATGTTTCTTAGAGGTTGTATTTATTCTTGCACATGTATTTATTACGTTTATATGTCACCTAATTCACTCTCAAGTGACCTTGGGTGGCTTTAAGCAACATTGGGCAGCATATATTGGATACTATTCATTATGTGAGAAAAAGAACTGAGCTGTCCAATTGACTTTGAATAAGGAGTCCCTGTAAAAGCAATAGTAAATTATTTGCATTCGTTAGAGACGGGTAATCTGTGGCTCTTCCTAGATTGCTTTTTAATTTCAGTCAGTCTACATTAATTAGGAGTCAGATGATGGGACCTGTGTTCTAACAACTTCAGATATTTTTTTTCATTCCTGGCTTTCATCAATATTAGTACAGTGTTTTGTATGAAATCTCATAAGTAAGTGCAGTTGAATTCAATTGAATATTCTTCCAACTATAGTCGGTAGAAGCAACTATATAAAATTTTAAAATTCTATATTCTTAATTCTATGTTTATATAATACTTGATAAACTTGGCAGGCAGTTATTGTTAATCTAATCTAAACAAACCTATTTTAATACTATTAAAATACTATTAAAATCTCCATTTAGCATTAATAAGCTGATTTTAATTAATTCGTTACCTTATCGTATTCTTTAATACCTAGAAAAATATCAGTGTAGTTTTCTGGTCTCCAGATGCCTTTAGGACTGTAATATTTTATTAAAACAGTTTAAGATAGAAAATTGAAATAAACACAATTTTTGGTTTCTGTTCTTCATTTACAGGACAATGTTGTGTGTTTGTCACCAAAACTGGCTCAAAGCCTTGGTAATATGAGCCAGATTTGCATCTGTATCCGGGTAACCAGTGCCATTCACGTCATTGATCCGAGTACTCTTCAAAGTAAGTCTGTGGATATTTTCTCTATAAACTGTAATCTTATAATACCAATAATAAGCACTCAGCATCAATCTTAATTTAAAAACAGTCCTAAAGCCTTTTAAAAAAAAACTGAACTATATTAAGGTTTGAAGATACAGTTGGAAACACGTGTATCTTTGACATGAGTGTATTGTTTCCATGATTGTGGGTTCAAGGACACTAAATGAATTTTTAAAAGTAAAATATAAACATTTGAAAATGTATTTTTCAAAAGTTTAAAAATTCAAATTGATAATAAAATAATTTAATAAATGAAAACCTGCTATCTAAATACCACTTTACAGCTGTTTTAAAACGGCTTCTGATCATAGCCATGGTGTCATTCCGGATTCTTCACAAGAGTTTTGCCCTTGAAATCCAAACAACTAAAGGACCCAAAACCCAAAAGGCAAATCTTGAAATGAACTTATCAAGTCATGTTTTGGTATTACATGCAAATCCACTTACTCATCTACAACTAAGCTGTGTATGAACAATATGAACCTTAGCAGCTAGAATCCTAGGTTGCTGGCTGTTTGAATTTCCAAGACATTAGAACTTAACTAGAAGAAATACTTAGCTCTGATTCCTCCATGACTTGTCCATTCTATTTCCCCATTCAAAGCCCACAAGCTACTCCACCAACATCAAGTTACTAACCAGAACACCATATCAGCATTTATATCCAGATATGTCAACAATTGATTCATAAATATCTGCTCTGGTTCCTATTTTCTTCTTTTGCTCTTTCAGTTGCAGAAATAGATGGAAATACTTATTGGCGCCATCCTTTTAATAGCTTGTTTCATCCAAAGCAGTTAGAAGAATTTATTGTAATGGATATCAGTAAGATTTATGAACAGAAGCAAGGGGCTGGTGCAGGCATGAAATCCAACAAGGTAAGCTTATTCGTTTGGTTCTCTGCTAGAAGCTTGAGCAAATCTTGATTCCTGATTAACATTGTTTCACTTTGCATGTAAGTATGATAGTTCCAATGAAGTCCTTGCTTCTTCTGAATGGTTTAAATATTTATTTTTATATAATTAATGGTTATCTCATCAAAAGTGACTTTGGTTGGCATACAACAAAGCTAAAAATAATTAAGTAAAACCGCTATCATTAATTGTAAAAATACTAAAAACTAGAAAAACAAAACAAACAAAGAAATACTAAATACTAATCTGTAGTATACTCAATTTGGTTTAAATTCAGCAGTTGGACTAACCCTATCAAGAAGTTCATAATTTCAACCACATAGTTATGCTCAGGATTATCCTGATAACTTTTTTTGCTTTTTTAAATGCTTGGTCCAAAATTTGTCATACTATACTTAGGATAAATCCTTCAAAATGAAAAGTAGATTGCAATTAATCATGAATATGATTGTTAAGTTTAATAGATGAGTTATTCAGATGATAGAAATTATGAAAAACTTCAGATTTTATGATTTAGAGGTGTAATTAGAATACTGTTATATAGGAAAGCAACTTGTACCACAATTTGAATTTATGAAAATATTTTTCTTTGATTTCTTTGGAAATATATAAAAACACTATATTCAATTATACCATGACAATAAATGTGATACAATTTATTGTATTGCAGTCTTAGAAAAAAAACAGATGCTGTAAATTACTATAAATCGTTCTTGTTCAACATAAGCAAGTTTACACTGAAGAGTAACTTTCTGGATTAAAGTACAGATATTCCTTGTATTATTACCACAATTCGAACTAGACTTGATTGTTGAACAATGCAGTCATCAAGTGATACACCACAGGAGTGCTTCACACAACAACTACAATCCTGGCAATTCCCCTTATAGTCATTAAATGATCTCACGGGTTACTAAGTGGAGAGAATCCCAAATAACAACCAAGGGACTGCCTGAGAGGTATGGGGAAGAAGATGAAGCAGGCCCCTCCAATAAAGGGCTGAATGTAGGAAACCTCCACAGTAGGGGCAAAGCAGCTATCCTTCAGGAAGGTCCAAAGAGCCAGGAAACTCCAGGGGTAAGCCACAGTACAAAGTAGTCCCACCCACTAAAAAAAGAGCAGAAGACCCAGGAAGCCAAAGTTGTCGTTCCCCCCCCCAAAAAAAAAGAAAAAAAAAAGAAATGCTAAAGCTTCAGTAGAGGCACCGACAATGCCCCTTTTTGCTTAACTCCTGGAGCAGTAGAGCTAGCTTAGCAATAGTGCTAAGACATATACTGCTTCACAGTGCTTTACAGCCCTCTATAAGCGGTTTTACAGAGTCAGAATATTGCCCCAAACAATCCAAATCCTCATTTTACCGAACCTCAGAAGGATGGAAGGATTCGTCAACCTTGAACTGGTGAGACCTGAATTGACAAACTGCAAGCAGACGCTGATCAGCAGAAGTAGCCTGCAGTACCTAAGTGAATATATCTAAACATGTCAAGACTCTGAAACAAATGTTGTAATTTCTGAAATCGTATCTACACATTGTACATAATTAGAATGGAATATCTTAGGACTATACTGCTTCAACAGAAAGGAGGGAAGCTAAAAGTATTTGCATATGTATAATTATAATATCAGAAAGTTTAAAAAAAAATGTGAAGAAGCACTGGGAAATGTTTTGGCTTAGCTTCCTGTGGGTTAAAATCACAATTCAGTTTTCTAGGCTTGGCTTATTAACGACTGTATTAAAGAAAGGTTTTATTTGGGATGTACAAGTTAATCACATGTGCATTATGATTATTTTATTATTTTAGTTTGAAGTTCAGTGACCAGCTAAATGAGATCCGTGATTTAGAATTCCTAATGTACAATTCACTGTACAAAATGACCTTGTTATATTATTTGAAAAGCCACATGTGAAAGTCCACTCAGCATACAGTAGTGTACAATAGCGATTGCTAAATGGGTAGTGAATATAAATAAATGTGTATTGCTTGTAAATCCACATGTGAAAATACTAAATGTAGCTTAGAAAGATTGTATCATTTGGCTAGAAAGTAATTTGTAATTGTTTTGCTTCAGTTAATGAACTACTTTTCATGTATGTACTCCTTTTATTTTGGCATTTCTAAGCATATCCTTGCGGAAGCCTGGGTTCGGAAAACATCAGAATTGAATACAGACCATCAGTATTTCTGTCGTACTCATTTGGGGCATCTTCTGAATCCTGGAGATCTTGTATTGGGGTTTGTAATATTTTGCCTCTTTCTCTGCACATACAATTTTATGGTTGATACACATGATAAAATTAAACGGGAGAGGGAAGAGTTGAAAACAAAATTATTAGGTGGCCAAATTATGGAAGGATTCCAGTCAGTTGTTCCCTCATACCCAATTGAGTGCTCATTGCTAAAAGATAGAAAATACTACAGTGCTTTATCTTTGCTGTTTTAAACCAGATTCTTTATGCTAGTCCATGTTTGGACTCCAAAGTCCACAATCTACATTAAAACATATCTCCTTTTAGATATTCCTGCAACTAAAAATTGCATTTGCTTCTAGAAAGAAAGCTGTCAGCTTTGGAAGCCATATTCCATGCTGCCACATAGCCTGAGAAAGTGGGAGGGGGTGATTTCAATTTGAGTAGTTCTCAGCAGACAAAATAAAATTCTTTTCTTAGTTCAAGGTTATTAAGTGTGGCGCAGCAGAGAAAAGGGATCTTACACCGGGACAGATCATGATTGGTCATGTGATGTGAAGATGGGAGAAAAGGGGATGGATTGTAGTTGGGACATTGTGGGAAGTCCGGGAAACGTTTAGTTTTGAGATTCCATAGATGTGCCAGGTGCTATTCTAATAAAGGTACTTTTGAGATTATGCTTGTCTCGGAGTTACTGATTGGAATGGAGGTTTGCTGGATCGCTGACAAAAGCTGTATGACGGTCTCTAAAGTCTTGGTAAATCTCTTGGATCAAAGCACATTGGGATTCAGTATTTTTATATGCTTTGGAAAACTGACAGAAACAGATCCTGTCAAGTCTCTTTTGTTAATATTCTAATTAATTGCATAATGACACATTTTGAATTTTTCATGAAAATATTCAATGATAATCCTGTTGTGAATTTTCTCCATTCTACTCTATAGTAATGATTTGGAAATAATACTTTTTTAAAAGATTTATAGAACAATATATAATTAATACATGTTTTTCATATTTTTGTTTTCTAGCTTTGATTTGGTTAATTGTAATCTGAATGATGAATTTGCAAATAAGATGAATCCCCACAGTATCCCTGATGTGGTATGGTTTTGATATTTTTTTTTCTTTAAACAAGTCATTTCTTAAAATTGAACACATTCATATATTATGGCATGCTTCCATTCTCAAATTTGACAGTTTTATTTTAGTTTTGTTTTGCTTTCTTATTTAATTAATTGATTTCTTCTGTTCTATTTATATAGCCATGTATCTTATAATAGTGTTGTTAGGTGACTTAAATTTAAAAACAATACATATCTAATGCAAATAACATATTAACATCAAAATGTTTTGTTGGATTACAGTTCACAGAATCCCATATAGGCTAGGAATTCTAAAATGTATATATTGGTCACATAGGAAATTAATTTTGTTTCAGGTTATTTTACCTTAGCAAGATATAAAAATTATGTTTGTTTTTCTTTTATGCCCCAGTTCTCTAACAAGCACTATATCCATTTTTATTTCTGCATATCTTAAACATAATCACTCTGTCTCCCACAAGTGACTGTGAATTTTACATGTTTCTATGAAAAAATCACAATAAAATTAAATTTAAATTTGTTGTATAAGAGAGAGCATATGAATGCCCAAAGTTACACATGACCTAAAAATCTTAGATTCAGACATCTTGAGTAGTTGTTTCCAAATGGTAACTTTTCAGTTCCCACTTCTAGTTTATTTTTAAAATGCTTTTAACACATTCTGTCTCCTTGTTTATACTTTAAGTCATTACCTTTTTCCAGGATCAAATTAAGGGTATGGATTAGACTGTTGTAGACATAGGTTTAACAACCTTCCTACTTCCTGTCACATCTACGGTCAATAAACAGTATGTTGGCTTTGCATTTTGCACTGTAAAAAACCAAAATGTCACTTCTAATAATAGTTTTAGTCAAATTATTTACAAATGTACTATTTAATAGAAGCATTGATTTCTAGCAGATCTCAATATTTTTCTGTAGGCTATATTGATCTAGCACTTTCCCTGCTCCATTTGTAGGTTTTGATTAAAAAATGTTATGATCGCACCAAGCGTCAACGTCGCAGAAATTGGAAACTGAAAGAATTACAAAGAGACCGAGATAACATGGATACTGATGATGAAAGGTTATTAATTCTTTTAACCTATATTTTATGCTTTGTTCTTACACTTTTAAGCTGATATCTAGATTACCAGTTTAATCTGCCTAATTGTACTCCCAGTTTAAGTTGCTTGCAGAAGATCTATGAGAGAACTATCTACATGACATATATTTTTTATCAATTAGCTTGACAAAATTTAAAGAATATAAATTTGAAGTTAATGTTTTTGAATTACAATTACATAAAATGGGAAAATCTAGGAATCTTAAATTGTGCTCTGTTTTTTTCCACTAAAGTTAGAGCAGCAAATTTTAACAAAAAGTCAAATGCTAGGAAAGAGCTTATTCACCTCTGTACTATCTCTTGATGGGCATTTTGATTAAATTTGCATGTTGGACTAATCATAACTTAGGTTGCCTGGTTTTGGCTTAGCTTGTTATACAATTTCAATTATTTTTACTCAGAAATAAATGGATCTAGCCGACGGGTTTCATCACATGATGTATCGCGATTTCCCCCCCCTTCACTAAACCGGGCATGGCCAGCGTGTGACGCATCCAACCTGCAGGCCTGATCTAGCCAGTAAGGCTATGCAAAATTTTTGAAAAGAGCACTCTGCAAAGCACATTGGCAGAAGCAAAGGCCTTTGCAAACCATTGACACAAATTACTCCTGAACATATTAAAGCAACGCTATCCTTTGAAAGATTGGTGCATCTGTTTTTATGGGCTTATCTGGCTGTCTGTTTTTTTGCTTGTGTTTATTTGATTAGTGTCATGAAAGAAAATATTTCTATGCCTATAATCATAAAGAGCTCTGAAAAGCTTTCAGAACATCCACACAGAGATGCAGCTTCATGTGCAGCAGTACATTTTGCAAAGTACCCATTCCTAATTCACCAATTATCATTAGCCAATTGTAGCTTACTATAAAGTCATCGTTGGAACAAATTGTGGCTTAGTATAGTGTAAACTAGCATGTATCTAAACCCAGTTTAAGAGTTGATGGATGTAACTAAGTTAAACACTGAAGGTCATCAACATTGTATTTGGTTTTCCTGTACAATTTTTGAAACTGCTTTTTCTCTGAACATCATATTGAAGAGGTTCATATGGAAAAGGAATTAGATATGTTTGTAACAGTTATAGGACATGCTTTTGAATCAAATATTTGGTTTTCTTCCATGTTATTTGCATGTGCATATAAGTAATCTGGAATGTGCATAGTTCTGGATGGGGAAAATAGATTGACTTTATTTCCAATGTGATATTTTTACAGACAATACCAAGACTTCCTAGAAGATCTAGAAGAAGATGAAACAATTAGAAAAAATGTCAACATTTATAAAAGTAAGTTTCTCACCTGAAATCATTTTTATTCTTCTTGAACACTGCAACATTAGGGAATATTGCATCTATAGAACCTGCAGTTCATGAGGAATAGGGATCATGTTTTTCTTAAATTAGCTTTATTGCTAAGACATGTTTGATCATTAGTGATTCACCTACCTCTATTAGATCTGCAAACATTTTTGAAACTACCGGTATCTGAAGATTAAGAGAATTAATTTGGCATAGTTGTTAAAGAGACTGTATTAGAAGCTGGAATACTGAGAGTTCTAGTCTCTCTTAGGCATGAAAGTCAGCTGGGTGACTTTGGGATGTCACTTAGCCCTAGAAAGAAGGAACTGGCAAACCACTTCTTAAAATATTGCCAAAAAAACCTGCAAATACTTGTCTCTGCCAGATGTTCGGCTTAACTCAACGGATTATAACATCAATAAGAATATGTTGCTCATGGTTTTCTCCAGCTATGGGCAACCACAGAGAGCAAATTATAAACACACATGATTACCCACATATCCATTTCTAAGATTATATCCTTTGTTTTATAATAAATTTGGCAACAAGACTTTGTGAGTATTTACCACTGTTTAGTTGATTTTATAAGTGTCTGTTCTCTTCATAGCTTAAACAGTTATTTATATGATAAATAATGCAAAGATGGCAGTATTTTTTTATTTTATATGTACCTTGTAGAAATACACAAGTTACCAACCTTTTAGGATTGTAACATTCTACACCAGGTGTGTAAAACTCAATTACTGTAGATTGAGGGCCACATCAGGTTGTATTTGACCTTTCAGGGCTGGAGGGGCATGGCCAGGGGTATGTGTGTGTAAGGCTAGGGAACTTGACCAGTTCAACATCACTTGTCAGGGCTCTGTTTTCAGCCACGATGGCCTCCTGCAGCCCTCTAGCAGCTAAAATGCAGCCCAGGAAGGTGCACACCACCCGCCCAGGATCCATTTTTGGCTGCAACGGCAGGCCACAAGCTCCATTTTCACTGGCAGAGGGCTCCAGGAGGCCGCCGCAACCAAAAACGGAGCCCAGGCAGGCGGTGCGCAGTCCTCCCAACCTCCATTTTCTCTGGCAGAGGCACTGCGGTCTGGTCCTTCGTTGTTTCCAGGTCAGCTCCTTGGGCCAGATCTAAGCACCCCTTGGGCCAGATGCAGCCCGCAGGCCTTGAGTTTGACACCCCTTTTCTATATCATGCCATGATGTTTGATCCTGTAATAATTTCTTATGTGCTATGTTCTTATATTGTAGATCCAGTGATACCAGTGGAGAGTGACGTAGATGATGATAGCATTCCCCAAATCAGTCTCACTGAAATGCTAGAAGACCTTCAGATATCTGAAGATGCTACAGGGGAAGGAGGTGCCGATATGCTGATGGGATAAGTTAGGAGGTCTTGCTAATTGAATTTTGTTCTTCCTTGAAAAATAGTCCCTAAGAAATCTATTATAGGCATTCTTGACATGAAAAATAAATAATATTGATAAGATTTGCAAGAGGTTAAAAAGCAAATGCTTCTGAAAGATATAATGGTTAATACAAAAGGAAAAATTAATAGATTTAAGTTTTTTAAAAAATTATATATCAAATTGGTATATTTTCTATTATTTCAATAATTTCAATATCTGTTCTCAGGCCTTTTAGGCTGTTTGTGTTGACAAGTGTTAACAAACCTCAAATAAACTGGTCCTTTAAATACATATCTTGCAATTGGCAAATGTATGAAGTCTGATTAATTCAAATTAGGAAGATTTGAATTGACATTATTCATATTATTTGAAAATGATTTAAAGTTCTTTAGAAGAGTAAACTTTAGAGTGTAAACCAAAAATCTGGTTCAACATGTTGTAGTAAGTTTTAATGAAATTTGAGTCATGAAATTATCATGCAGATAATGCAAAACACAGATTATAATTATAGTACAATTTATCTAATCCATAACATTTGAATGACAACATCATGCTCCATGAAATGTCATTTCTCTTTACTCCCCAAATATTTTAATTTATACACTATATTTTATGGTTTAGGACAGTATGTGAATAAGCCATGGTTAGAATAGGGTTAGGGTGATAGTGTGATGCATGAACCCCACAGTTAAGAATTATATTTGTGTCCTTCAGTTCTTTCAGAATTATGGAAGTAAGAAATCCAGATAGTTAGAGAATGGTCAGGTTGGTGTAAACTGTTTAGCTTCTCCAACAGGACATGATTTTTAAGCCTTCTGTTGAGGTTACAAATATGTTCATGAGGTAAAAAGGAGCATCAGTATTACAGGTCTGAAAAATACCTTCTTTATAAATTTTTTTCATTTGCGCAACATACTCTCATTGATGGAAGTTAGATGTAGACACAAACCATATAAAATATTTCTTTAAAATATGCTGTATTAAGCTGACAACATTTTATGGTGTAGAAAATACTAATTTTGAATCAGCTTTCTTGATATGTCATTATCTGTTCCAGCTGATCTTTAAAGAAAATCAAGGAAGTATTTTCTTATTTCCATAAGTTGATTATACCTGCCCAGGCACAGTTTATAGAATTGCTAATTCATGATTATAGATAGCACTTAATTATGCATGAGATTTCATAAGTGTCTCAAATGTAAACATGTTAAGAAAGTGTGACACCTGTGCTTATGAAAGTAGAATGGGGAAATCCAGGATTTTTGTCCTTGCCGAATCAATTATTTTACAGGTGTGGCATAGTTTGGGAAAGCTGGCATCAGGAGTCTGCACATATAATTTTTTTTCTGTTACATTTCAAGAACTCTCCCTTGAGTTGAGGCAGTATCGAATAGATTTTCAATGGTTTTTAAAAAATGAACAATTCTCCTAAATAAGGACAATACACCATAAAATAATTTCATACAAGATTGGTATATAATACATCATTTCAGAGTAATTAAATAGAAATGGTATCATTGCTGAAAGGGTTTTTGTAGTAAAAAAATGCATTTCTCAATCCATATAATGATATTTGGAGGTATAGTGTTTAAATCTCCATAATATTTCACTTTAAATGTTATTTGTACAGCAGATGTTATATCAAAGGAGCCTTAAATTACACTTTTTACTTTTACAATTAATTTGTAAACGCTGCTGTTTCACTGTTTTAGTAATAACTACCTTTCTTCATTAAAATATCTCAAGATTGAGCTATTTATTGTTGATACTATGTTTCAACTTCATCTCATACTTTGTACACTTTTAATCAGATGTATATATTTGTTCTGCATCAATGCCGCAAGTTCCATTTTATTTTCATCGAAGTCTCCGTAATTCATGAAAACATTCTTAGCACTGAAACATAATTAATCTCAGCTATATGTTCCTGAGAATGCATTGTTGCCTTGCGAAAAAAGGAAAGGCAAAATTACACTTTGTGTTTAGTGACTGCAACATCTACCAATGGAGTTGCCAATCCCAATTGTGTTCGCTAAATGGGAATTAACTGTCACATTTACACAAACACTTGATGAAAATGATTGCTAGTGTGTGTTGTAGTTACGTTGTATGAACAATAACAATTGCAGTAATTCAAGGAGACATGGCTCATTTAATTGTAGTTAAATCTTATGCAAAGATAGCCTACATATGATTCATAATTTCATGGTTATATCAGCAACACATAACATTCATAAGAGGCCAGTTAATTAAATATTTTGCTCTGTTATGTCTGGAAATGAACAGACAAATTCTACAAAAATTGTGAAATATGCAAGGTGACTAGTAACTAAAGAATGGGATTTATTTGTTTTGATTTTGTGTTGCCCTAAGTTAACCCTCAGGTAAACAAAAATACAAATCACATACAGAAAATTCATCTACCAAAAAGCTGCCCACTGATATTCATGACACATTTTAGAATGATAATTGTGATATATTTTAATAACAGTAATTGACATTTTTCTTTTTCTTTAAATACTGTATTTTAAACACATTAAAAGTTGTATTTTTAATGTTCTTCCTATTATGAATTTTGTTGTATAAGAAAAGAAATACTGTATATATTCCTATTTTTTCCATTTAGTTTGTTATTCTTAGTTATTTAACAGAAACTCAAAGTAATGGCTTAACAGTGCAGTGAGATAGCTTTTCATTTAGCATCAATCTGTGTATGCGTACTTTTCCGATGTTGCAGAATTTTTTTCCTATTTTTAGGGATTATCATTTATTGCAGAGCAACACCATTAGACAAGCTAGATACAAAGATAAAAAAGCATATCTCTGTTAGGGTATGTCCTGATTTAATTTTTTCAAAAGCACAGTGCTTCACAATATTTTTTAAAACTTTCCTGATATAATTATAAATATTCAAATACTTTTAGCCTCCCTCCTTTTTGTTGAAGCAGTATAGTCCTAAAATATCCATTCTAATTATGTATAATGTGTAGATACGATTTCAGAAATTCCAATATTTATTTCAGAGTCTTGACATGTTTAGATATATTCACTTAGGAACTGCTGTTATGTGCTTGCTGAGGACAAGTAGTATCAGCTGCATACCACTCAAGGATCATAGGATAATTAAATGTAGTAGCTACCAGCCAAGCATGTTGGTAAACTATAAATTTTCAAGTGCTAACATGTATGTACTCTTAACTACTGTGTTTAACTCTTGATAAAGGTTAAATACTAATAAGATGTACATTTCCCTTCTAATGCCATTATTATGATAGTAGGAGAGCATTAATCCTGCAATATGAGAAACCAAATCATTTTCAGGTTTGAAAATTAATTCAAGTAGGCACCGCCTGACTCCAAACCAGTTCTGTGTGGTTCACAGTGCACATGATTATATTTCTGTGTGGTTTAAGATTAAGTAACTTCAAATATTATCTAGTATTTTCCTAGGTTTTGAATCCATGGGAAATGGAAGTAAAGCTCTGGCAACAATAACATCAGTAAATTAGAGCAACAATGGAGAAATCTAGGGGCTTTGCCCACTGCCCACTTCCCCACTACATATCTTTCAATTGACAGAAAAAGTTCGCATAAAATTCATTGTCTCCTGCTTGATTATTCAACTCCCTGTCCCATAAACCTTCAGATTGGTGGGCTAGATGGTAAAGTAGCAAAGCCATTGAAGTATTCTGTTTACCATTCATGTCCTTCATTCCATAAATTGCTCAGTGACTTCATATGACCACAACGCTATAGCAAAGAATGGCCTGGAGCCCAGGCAGGAGATCTGCACAGCACCAACCCAAACTAAGCTCATCCTTCTCCTACAACCGTGGTTGCACAGTGGTTAGAGTGCAGTAATGCAGACTACTTCTGCTGACTGCTGATTGCCAGCAGTTCAAGTCCCACCCGCTCAAGGTTGATTCAGCCTTCCATCCTTCCGAGGTCGGTAAAATAAGGACCCAGATTGTTGGGGGCAATATGCTGAGTCTGTAAACTGCCTGGAGAGAGTGTAAAATCACTGTGAAGCCTAAGTCTAAGCGCTATTGCTACCGGCCAGTTGACTGTACTTCTCTCAGCATAGGCAGGGAAGTTCAGCACGTTCTAATATTTAGAATGGTTAGTGTCAACTTAAGGAGACAACGATGTTTAACAGTGATACCACTAATCATGATTTAGGGTTATCTCCCATATGGAGATCATTGCCATCCACTTCAATTAAACTCTATTGAAAAGCCTATTACATTTAGTTACATTCATGATTGTCTTGAAATTTATAACATTGCATATGTTCCAGTCAGTATTAAAATGAGAAAATAATTTACCACATGCACATCTCTAATATTTAAATCAGGCCATTTGGTGAAGCGTCAATAGATCATATTCCAATCATTTGACAGACAATGAAATACATTTTATACTGTATTATCAAATAATATCTGTGTCATAATTAAGGGTAGACATTTTACACTCTTGAGTCATAGTTCTAATCTGCGGAATTGGTACATAGCTTTGCTGTTACAATATCCGCACCAACTGATAATTTTTTTCCAAGACAGAAACAACAGATCTCTAAATATTAGCAGTGAAACAAAATGCTAGATAAAACTTCTTAAGACATTTTACAGTAGATTGAGGTTTTAGTTCAGAAGTCTTAAATTAGATCTTTAATATCAGACTGAAATTCACTTTCCCATTATTTTTGTTTATCAGATGGTATACGTATTTGATACTTTCCCTCATTCTTCCCTCTCAGTATCTACCCACTTTTAGTTTCACTTCATTTCATTGTCTGATAATAAAATAAAATAAAAAATTATGTGGTGAAATAGATTTGAAAACTATCCAAATCTTCAGCAGCTCCCCCAAGTTAACACATCTAAGGATACCAGTTGATATAATTTAGGAAAAATATTAAATATTTTTAAACTTTGTATTTACACAGAAGCAAAAACACACAAAACTACCCAGACTTGGTTGAAATAGGTATAGTTCAGTGTCCTCCTTTGCTATTTGATTAAAAATTGTAGAAAGAACTGATATGCCAGATGCAGATGAATAGGAATGAACACATAAGCTGTATATGCCAGCATGGTAAAAGTAGTTGTAGCAACAATGTGAATCACTATTTGCTCCCAGTGTTCGAAGTCATTGCCGCAGGTAACCATCAAGTATTGAAAATAAAGCCAGTAGAAATAATTCTTTATTCTCTTCATAGCTGCTGCTGCCATGAATCGTTGCTTCTGGAAAGTTGTCCTATTAGAATCAACAAAATGAAGATAGTATAAATTGTGAATAGAAGAAATCATAGAAGATTCTTCAGGATTATTCATTTCCACTGAATTCATAAAAGAACACAATTCAACAAAAATGTCGTCTGACGTTTAGCTGAAGGAAATTCACTGAAGCATAACTATGTTGATTGTATAGCAATTTCATGTGTCAACAATATGTTTTAGCATTTTTTGTTGGAGAAGGTATATTTCATTGCCATCGCTTTTACTTGTATATCATTTCCCTTTTGGATTAGCAAAACAGTTGGGAAGACAGCATGGTCTATGAAGAAGGTAAAGGATGAGAAGGAAGCCTGCACTGACCATAACTGACTTTCAGTTATAAGTTGCTTGTGTATGTTTTACCCTATGAATGAGGTGTTCATGTTTATTGACTGTACTTTCTGTAATCCATAACTCTTGGGAAACCATTCAACTTTGTTATGAAGTTTAGTTGGAAAGCAGAATATTGCTTGCTATCTTCTTATTCCTGATGGCAACAAAAACAGTAAGGCATCTTCCTTTTCCAGTGCTACACCTGAGATAAGATTCACAAGGTAATATGAAGATACATTTAGCAGTAATAACTATCAATTCTGTGTATTTACTAGTTTATGAGCACCTCAGTAGTGCTTGGATCCAATATTTTTCAAAGGCTCAGTTAGCCTTCTCCAATTTAGCATTGTAGATATGTTAGAATAGCAGCTTCCACAATGTTGGCCACAAAGCTGGGAAATTTAGGCAGTGTATTTCTAGAGGTGTCAATATATAGGCAAAATAAGCATTAGCTATAGAAGACAGTGTTAGTTTGTGATTGGCTTGGCTTAATTTAAGGACAGTTTGCTTTTGCCTCCATTTGATTCTTATTGACGTATTTCTTTAAAGCTTGCTGGAGAGAAAAGGGAATTTATGTTGAGTGATGGGATATTCCTAAAAAGACAAGTCTTGCACAAGACTGTTTCCAGGGGATTATGGAAAGACAATCTGAAAGACAACTTCTACCTGAAGATCCACCACTCCTTCCTTTTCTCAGTAGTTGACTACCATTCTTCCTGGATTCAGCTTCCTATTTAACATCATTCTGAAAGCTCCTCAAAGTAATGTATTATGAGGTGCCACAGAAATCCCAGTACAAAAATATACCACAGTCACAGCCACAGCATGCCTTAAATATAATGACGTTGCTCTGGGCTGCAGTTTAACATGGCATCATCACATGAGGTATTTACTTCAGTTCATCACCCCTTACACATCCCAATCTAAAGTAACTGCTTCACTATACTTAATGTATTTATAATTAGTGAGCTCATTATTACCTGTATCCAATGATGATTTCCTGGAGATTAGTCATTGTCTCTGGTCCTAGGAAACAATGGAGAAGCTTAGCTAGTGGTGTACAAGAACTGAGTATCATAATTATGTTTTCATTTGTTTATTTTAATATAGTATAAGCATAATAAAATTAGCAATACAATATAAATCCAACCTAATCCAAGTCCTACCAAGTATTGCTATTGAAAAGGTCTTTCAAAGAACCTGAAAAAAAAAGTGTTTTAAAAGCCCTTTTAAACCTTGTAAGATCACTTTGAATATTATTCAAAGGGAATTGATTCTGAAGTATAGAAACCATATCGCAGAAATTTCTAAAACATGAGGTGTTTGAGACAAGACAAAACTAAGCAATTTCCATTTTACAACATCAGAATACATAGGAATACAAAATGTGACCAATTTTTTAAAATACCCTATGTGTTCCTTGATAAATTACCCCAAAAGATCAGCTCCAGCAGTCTGAACTAGTAATTAATGTTCCTGAAGACACAGCCAAAGTATAGGTTACAGAATAAAAAATGCAGGTGAATTGGACAATATCCAAGACGGCTCTCTTCTTTACACCACTTTTAGGTGGAGAACCACCAGGGTATTAACTTACTTTTCTCAATTCCTCAGTTCTAAGAAACTGATAAATTATTTAAATAGTCAGAAGATGAAAGTTATGTGTCCTTGTGGTGGTATTCATGAAAGGCCTTTAAA